CCCCCCCCCCTCCAACTTACGTACGTAAACACGTAAGCCGTTCTAAATATCACTTTCGTTTCTTTTCGCCGGACACTCGCGAAACTTCGTTGGTCGAGTTTCGCAACTTTAAAACTTAAAACGGCACACTCGGTTTAACCATCTGACAATTTGATCACTTGTAAGGAAGATTCGAAGTTGTAAAGTGACTGCCCGTATGGAAAAAAGCGTTTGAAATTGATTTGCGTTTAGTCACTACGCTGGGTTTCTTCTCAAATATAACTCGGTTCGGAAGTGGCTAGATCCCAGCCACGGTCCATATAAGATTGGCACACAAGTCAGATAGAATGCAGTTACAAGTTGCGCAGACACATCTCGGACAGTTCTCCTACAGAGCTGAGTCAGGTATCGTTGAGGTTTCAAACACTTCGCACACGCGAGTCGGGCAGTTCACCGACAGTTTTGACAGAGAAGTGTCTGGCTACTGTCTGTGGAGTAGGGGAGACCGCAACAGAAGTATGTAATCAGGTGTCCGAGCTCGGACAGTCGGCAGACGTGCGTCCGATTAGACGACATAAAAAGCGGCGACACCCAGAGTAGAACTCCGGACTTTTCGACAGTTGGCAGGCTACCTTGCCAACTGAGCTATCCGGGCAGACAGGTGATGAGGAAGCCCGGAAGCATACCAAGGAACGTTCGCCCGCTCACAAGCCGCCGGCGGTAGCAACGAACCACTTGCTCCGCCCGGATATGATAAATCTGCGGAGTCCTTTGGAAAATCGCAAAGAACTTGGACAATATTTTTCACCATTGTTTCTTCGTGAAATCACAAACGTGGTTTAACAGAGTCGATGTGCAACCCTACACCGTGTGAATAATATTTTTCGGTGACCTTCGATAATTACAATTGTTCTGTTGTAGGTTGATTCTGACACCCCGCAGTTCGACCAGCTCGCCGTTGATGAAGTAGTAGACGCCCTCGGTGAAGACGTGGACCTGGCAAGAATGACCAACGCGCAGATAGAAACTCTCGCCGCATCGTCAAAGCTGAAGGAGGTACAATCTTAAAACGAGTGAACTATGAATACAAACCGAATTTTGTGATAAGTACAAAACTCGTTCTTAAAACGTACAGTGTTAAATGCGTGCAAAGAATACGTTCCGTTCGTATTGCAAACTATTTTCTTTGCACCTTGCAAAGAATTTTCAAGCATTGTAATACGAACTAGTTCTTCGCAAGCTTGCAAACTATTTCTCTGCCATGTAACCACATTGTTTGCAATGATTCTGACAGCTTTCAAAGAACTTCTTCGCCAGACGAACTAATTCTTTTCAAAACAAAGCTCGCAAATTCTTTCTAACGTTGCAAAGAATATAGTTTGCAAGCATTTTACAGTGTACCACAGTATTTTTTGGAAGCAGTTGGTACCTTTATCTCAGAAGAGTATGTATTGAGGGTGTTGTAAGGTTTTCCATGGAGGTACATTAAAAACTCCCGCCGCGCACTTGTGAAGTACCGTATTCGGCCACAATGGCAGCGCGGCGTCACCGTACACACTGTGGCGGGAGACAATTTTTGTACGTTTAGGCTAGATGTGTGGTTGCGCACATCTGAACAAGATACAAATGTGTGTTTACGTAACATACACAAGAGCATTTTTACCTAGCCTAGGTACAATTTGTGCCTCCGTAAATACAAATTTGTATCTGATGAAGATGTGCTCACAGACACATCTAACGTAAGCACAAAAATTGTTCTTTCCCATTTAGAGTGTGGTTCAAATTACGGCTTGTTTGCCTGTCTGAATATTATGTGTTAACAGAGGGTTAAAATATCCACGTTTTTTTTGTCTTTGCACCCTTGCAGCATAAATGACGATACTTATCTCACGACCTATGCGCAGCATCTGAGTAAAAGTATCGTCATTTGTCTATGCTAAGGGGTGCTAAGACGAAAAAAAGGTAGATTTTTTTTTTATCCTGTATTTGTTGTAACACATTCTATATTAAGAAGTGCACACAAGTCATAACTTGAACTACGGGCGGAGGGCAAATGGTGACGTCACGATCCGGTGACCAAATCAGATCGCGACGCGTCTACTATGTGTAACCTTGGCCTGCACGGCCTACACCAGGGGTCGCTATTTTGCGGCTCGTCGAGAGGCGCGCAGCAGTCGCGCACTTCTTGCGTTCTGCTGGAGCCAAGGTTCTCGAGAGCCACGCTGCCGGTATAGGCCGTCCACGCCACGCTCGGCTCGGAAGCCGCGTGTTTATGACGAGGTTTACGACCCCTGGTGGTGTAAATGATGGTCATAGCATATATTTCTGTATTCCGTACATGAGAAATTTGCACCCTGCTTGTTTGGAAACTTAAAAATCCGAACAGTTTGGAAACATAATTTTCTCAACTATTT